CTTGTAGTTGACTTCTAGTTTTACAGTATTGTGGTCAGAAAAGATGCATGGTAAGAGATGCAGAAAAGTCTTCCAAAATTTGTAGAGACTTGTTTTATGGCCTGATATGTAATCTATTCTGGAGAATGAATGTTCCATGTGCACTTGAAAAAATGTATTCTGCTGTTTCAGGATGAATATATTTGTTAAATCCTTCTGGTCCCGTGTGTTGTTCAGAGTCATTGCTTCCTTATTGATTGGAAGATCTGTCCATCAGTGTAATCAGGGCGTTAAACGTTCTCTACTGTTATTGTGTTACTATTGATTAGCTCCTATATGCTTGTTATTGGCTGCTTTATGTGTTTAGGTACATAAATATTTACAGTTGTTATGTATTCTTGTTGGATTGTCCCTTTTATTATTATATAGTGTCCTTTTTTGTCTTTTTTTCTGGGCTTTGTTTTAAAGTCTATTTTGTCTCATACAACTATTGCTACTCTGGGTTTTGACATCCATTTTCATGATAAATGTTTCTCCATCCCCTCACTTTCAATCTGCAGATGTCTTTAGCTCTGAAATAAGTCTCTTGTAGGCAGTGTATAGATGAGTCTTGCTTTTTTTATCCGTCCCATCACCCCATGTCTTTTGACTGGAGCATTTAGTCAGTTTATATTCAAAATAATTATTGATAGATATATATTTATTGCCATTTTGTTACTTCTTGTTCTCATGGTTTTTCTCTGATCCTTCTCTTTCTCTCTTTCACAGTTTGCTGGGATATACTTGGATTCCTCAGTCTTTATTTTTTGCATATCACTGTTTTTCGATTTGTGGTTACCATTTGGCTTATATATCATATCTTCTGCATGTAGCAGTCTCTATTAAGCTGATGGTCACTTAATTTTGAACTTATTCTTTATTCCTCACTCCTCCCCATTTCAGATATTTTGTATCATAGTTTATATCCTTTTATTTTGTGCTTCTCTTGACTGATTTTTACAGATATACTTAAAAAAAATTATTTTTTTTTGCTTTCATGCTTCTATTTTTCTTACTTTCACTCAGTTGTTGTTGTTTTTTCTTACTCAGAGTACCCCTTAACATTTCTTAGAGGGATGGTTTAATGGTCATGAATTTTAACTTTTGTCTGCAAATGCTTTCTCTCTTTTTATTCTAAATAATAGCCTTGCTGAAGAAAGTATTCTTGGCTGCATATTTTTCCTTTTCAGCATTGAATGCATCATGTCACTTTCCTCTGGCTTTTTTTTCCACTTTTTTCGGCTGAAAAATCAACAAATAGCCTTATGGGATTTCCTTTGTATCTGCCTTTTTTTCTCTTGGAAACGTTAAAATTCATTCTTTTTTTTTTTTTTTTTTGCCATTTTAATTACTACATGTCTAGGTGTGGATTGCATTGGGTTGAATCTGTTGGGGGATCTCTTTGCCTCCTGAATCAGGATCTCTGTTTTCAATCCCAGATTTGGGAAGTTTTCAGCTATTATTTCTTCAAATACATTTTCTCTCCCCCTTTCTCACTCTTCCGGCATCCCTCTAACTTGAATATTATCTGCTGAGGTCTCTAAGTCTAGTCCCATTATGCAGGATTTGTTTGTCACCTGTTTAGCTTGATAGCTTTCCATTCGCTATCCTCAGGTCACTGATATCTTCCTTTGCTTCTTGTAGTCTACTACTTATTCCATCTATAGCATTTTAATTTCATGTATTAAGTTCTTTATCTCTGACGTGTTATTTTTTAATCTCTTTGTCAGGGGTCCCATTGATGTCCTCCATGGTTTCCCAAGCACAGTGAATATCTTGATTATTACTTCAAATTCTGTCTCAGGCATATTGTTTCTGTTTCACATAGATCTTTTGCTCTGATTTTGTCCTATTCTTTCATTTGGGACAGATCTCTCTTGTCTCTTCATTTTGTCTACCTCTCTGTGTCTGCTTTTCCTTTCTGTTAAGGTCAGTCAACTAGGTCTTCTGCTCTTGCGAGTAGTGGCTTTAGGAAGAAGAGGTCCTGTAGGGCCCTGCAGTGCACTGTCTCCTGTTCACCAGAACCCAGCACTCCAGGGGAGTCTCCTTTGTGTGTTGCTAGTGTCCTGCTCTTGTGTCTGAGTCCCTTTACCTTTTAGCCCAGCTGTCTGCATGGATTTTCTGCCTATTGTGGCCAGTTCTTACTCCCTATGATGTTAGTGAGAACCAAGCATGCAGGGTCTCAGGAGGCATGACCACAGGACTCAGGGGCAGGGCAGCATTGAGCTGCTGGTCCTACTTTGTATCCCGCGCAGCCCACTGGCTGCTGGGAGCATGGTGCATGGTCATGGTGTTGGTGGCCGGGACAGGCGGTGTCTGTGTGCATTGCAGTTGGGTGGGGCCTGCACAGCATTAACCAAATTGGTACTGAGCCCAGGGCCCAGGCCAGCATGTCTGGAGTGGGTGAGTCCTCAGGAGAACTCATGGGCAGAGCATATTGCTAGCAGGGTAAGTGGCAAGTGTCTGTGCAGTGCCACCACCCTCAGGTGGCTCTGTGTATGCTGCCGGCTCCTTTGTTCCCAGAGAAGTTCCCCCAACTCTCTCTGAAATTACCATAAACAGATCTCCCTGCTGTTGTGCAAACTGTGGCTTCTATGTTGACTTTCCCTGGGCTATTGTCTCTTTAGGGGTAGAGACCCAGCTACCACTGGCTATCCTGGCTTGCTCACTGCTCAGTCAGCTGACTTTTAAAGCTCCAGGCCCCAAGTCCCACTGGTTATACAGACTCACAGAATTCAGCCCTTCTTGGTTTCAAGGCCAGATATTACAGGGATTCATTTTCCCTGTGTGGGCTTCTCCCTCTCTGTGTCCATGGAGCCCTACAGCTTCCTCTCTCCTTTGGTCAACTTCCAACTACCATTTCGGCCCTTACTAACCTCTCCGATTTCTAACCTCTCCAATGTGGCAGCTTCTCTGCATTTAGTTGTGGGGTTTGTTCTGCCAATCCTCGGTTCGCTCTCCAATCCATGCTCTTGGATATGAGTGATAACTAGTTGTAAATGTAGGATGAGACGCACTCAGGGTCCTCCAACTTTCCAAGCCTCTTTTTCTATCATAGCTGATTTCTTTATATTTCCCTTTCCTACCTCAAGGCTAAATAAACTTTAAGGTAAAGTCCATAAAATTCAGAACATTTGGGAAGAAGAGTTTGCTAGTGCACTCTCTGAAATGACTAATGATGGTCTGTTTTCTCTTATTTGTGAGAATCTTTTTTTTTTTTTTTTTTTTTTTGGAGCTTGTCCTTTCGTATTTATGTTTTCAGTACTTCAGCAAGATATTTTAAGCTGGAGCTGGGGTAGAATAATTCTCAAGACTTAGGGGAAGTTTCATTTCATAGCCTATGCCACAGCAATGAACATTCCAACGCTTGCCCTTGCTTTAACAGAGAATCAGAGGGTTATCCTATGGTTTGTTAGGAATCATCCTCCATGCCCTGTGAGTGGAGGGGATGCCCCGATCATTTACAGAGCTGCTTTTCTTTGGGGAGATTTTATTCTAGTCTACCTTAGCTCATTACTGATTCATGAGCTGCTGTTTTGGCTAAAGAATGACGGAGGAGCAATTTTAGCTGAGAGGCTAACAAAATTTGCTGCATACTTTTCCAACATCTCTCTCCTTATGGGACTTGCTATAAAGAACTCTACTCAAAACTTTCTTCTCCTCCATCCATCCCCATGAGTGCTTTTTTCCTATTCAGGTCCTCTGGTAAAAGGACTGCATTCACGGTTCATGTCTCTGTCACTCGCTCTTTACAAGGTGCTCTGCTGTTATCAAGCACCAGTCCATAAAATGTTTTAGGTTTTTCTACTCCTCACTGGCAGTTGGTTTTGACTCAGTGGGGAGCAAGGACCCCCTTCAACATTTCTAGCTCAGGTGGAGTCTTTGACTCAACTGCAGAGCAGTTTAGCTTTGAAGGCTCTTTGGCTGTATCATTAGACCAGTTTGTAATGATTTTATGGCTCGCCCAAGATATGCTGAAACCATTATTTCTGAAAGTGGACTTGGAGTTCTCTTGGTAGATAGGTGTTTTGTTTATCGAGTCTTACCACTTTAAAATTAGCAGTGGCTTTTTCAAGCGTAATACTAGCTAATCTCAGCCGATTTCTGAGGTGTTATTTCTCTAATAGAAGCATTGACTTGTTTATTTAGAGATTGTACTTGGAACCCAGCAGATAAGGGAGTTGTACAGACAGTCCTCGGTAGATATCTTGGTACATGTGATAGATAATAGAGTCGGAATTGTTAGCCTACAGAAGCCAAGTACAAACTACTATTTTGCATGTGTTACTCTGTTCTTATATTGGATAAATCTGAGCTTGCATAATCGAAATCAGGAAGAGTGTTTTCCTGGTCCATTAAACTCTGGGTTACTTTGGGACTTTTGTTCAATTCTATAACACTAAATATTGATAGTTAAAAATGCAGAGATGTATGGGGCACCTGGGTGGCTCAGTGGGCTAAGCCTCTGCCTTCGGCTCAGGTCATGATCTCAGGGTCCTGGGATCAAGCCCCGCATCGGGCTCTCTGCTCAGCGGGGAGCCTGCTTCCCCCTCTCTCTCTGCCTCTCTGCCTACTTGTGATCTCTCTCTCTCTGTTAAATAAACAAAATCTTAAAAAAAAAAATACAGGGGCGCCTGGGTGGCTCAGTGGGTTAAGCCTCTGCCTTCAGCTCAGGTCACGATCTCAGGGTCCTGGGATGAAGCCCCGCATCGGGCTCTCTGCTCAGCAGGGAGCCTGCTTCCCCCTCTCTGCCTGCCTCTCTGCCTACTTGTGATCTCTCTCTGTCAAATAAATAAAATATTTGAAAAAAAAAATTAAAAAAAAAATACAGAGATGTACATTTACATCTATGCTGTGTATACCTAAACCTTCTATAACATTTGTGCCCAAGAGTGATTTAGTTTGTCTGATAGCAGGTTAATGGGGGAGTGTAGGAGACCATGGAAGAGGGTTGCAATAGCAAATCACTGCACACAAAAGCACCTTTTTTCAGCATCACCTTGATTTATTTTCCTAGTCTTTTTTTTCCTCAGAAGGAAAAATAATTTCATCAGGAAAACAAATGTTCCTGCCGAAGTGAATTTCTTTTAATGCTTTTCTTAAAAAAAGAAAAGAAAAGAAAAAAAAAAAAAGCAACATTGAATTAGGGCTTCCTGTGCCCCCTCCCCCCATTTTGCTAACCAAAGTTTTTTTTTTTTTTTTAATCCATTGGCAGAAAACAAGATATTTTCCTCAGATAGGATGATTATAGTTTATTGCTGTTTTGTTTAGTATGTATGTTTTTCTCAATTGGGAAAAAAAAGTCTAGGTGAAAAAATTAACAAGAAAAGTAGTTTACATGGTCATAACACTTAATTGCTGGCAAAAGAAAAAAAAGTAAAAAAAAAAAAAAATTTAAATGTAAAATACCACATAACTCCAAAAAAACTTACCTCAGTTTTCTACCATGTATCATGTACTATAAGTCAACTTTCTAAATAGGATTACAGTCCTTTATTATAAGCCCCTAGTGGTCCTATGGTATACATTTAAAAAAAAAAACACTACTACAAAATTTTTCTGTTTTTTTGTTTTTGCCTATCGTGTACTTAAGCTATAGATAACTGTTGAATAAAAAGCCTACATAGGTATAAATGCAATAGTTAACTGATCCTGTTTGCTGACGTCCTTTTCGTGTTCCACAGAAGGCAGCACCCATTAGTCCAGCATCTTCTCCTGTTTCTTGCCTTCCTTTTTCTTCTTCTTAGATTCTGCTGTGATGAAAAAGAGAAAAAAAATCATCATGTTAGTAAATAATGGGGGTACTTTTCTTTGACAGTTAACCCTAGAACAATGCTTGGGATTTTCAACCCTCCATGCGGTTGAAAATCTGCATGTAACTTCTTATCCCCTCAAACTTAACTATTAATAGCTTACTATTGCTTGGAACCCTTACTAATAACATACATAGTTCATTAACACATATTTTGTGTATACATTATATACCGTATTCTTACAATAAAGGAAGCTAGAGAAAAAAATGCTATTGATATAGTACTGTATTTATTAAAAAAAAAAAAAATTCACATCTAAGTGGACCCAAGCAGTTCCACCCCTCATTTTTCATGGGCCAACTGTCATCGTCCGGGAATGAAATGATTAGATGGAGGGACAAGGCGCATGTGTGTGTGAACCTGCTTTTGCCAGGAGAGTGCACTAGGAGTGCCTAGTGCAGGCGGGAGGGATACAGCCTTCCTTCATGCGGACACCTGTAGATGCTTGCCATCTTATTGGTTGCTCCCATTTGGTATTTAAAATACTGTCTCAGGGTCCTACTTAGAAAAGAGAAACAGGGCAGACCTCTGTGAGAGAACACACCAGGATACTCACTGCTTGGTGGAGAGGTATAAAAACTCTGCTTAGCCCCCTCACTCCCCATATGCCCTTCCCATGGGGCTGTTAATCAGCACTTTTCCTGCCAATTTCAAAGTGCCTTCTCTCCTGATTTGCTCTTTGCTTATATATTCGCCAGCGATCCGTATCTGAAGGACCAGCTCTGAACCACATGGAGCTTTGACTCCATAGTCTTCTCGCCTTGGATGAAGCAAATGGAATGTCCCAACTTGAGCTAAACTGGGTAAGTAAAACCATGAGGATTTTTTTTTTTTTTTAAAGATTTTAGTTATTTGACACACAGATCTCAAGTAGGCAGAGAGGCAGGCAGAGAGAGAGGGAAACAGGCTCCCCGCTGAGCAGAGAGCCCGATGCGGGGCTCGATCCCAGGACCCTGAGATCATGACCTGAGCCGAAGGCAGAGGCTTTAACCCACTGAGCCACCCAGGCGCCCCAGCCATGAGGATTTAAATCTAAACATCCTGTCCTTTTCCCTTCAATCATCATGCTGTCTCCCTTTTCCTAGGCCGAAGAGAATGCAGTGTGAACAGGGCTTGTCAGGTTGGGCTCCAAAGATGAGACCAGTCAGAATTGCTAGGCTAGCAAGTGAAAGGCTATTGCTAGGTGTTTTTAGGATCCTTCCCCCTTTCTGGCCCACAGTAGTGGTAGAAACAGAGGGGTCAGGTACGGGCTCTGGAGTTGGACTGCTGGCATGTGAGTCCTGGCTCCACCACTAAGCCAAGCTGAGGCTTCCCGAAAGCCAGTCGTGTTATTTGTCTCAGATCTCTCACCTGTGCATGGGCAAACGATTCGTACCACTTTATAGGGTCAATATCCTCATTAAATGAGCTGTAGAAAATTCCCTGAGAACAGACCATGGTTTAACAGCCTGTTCTCAATAAAGGTTAGTCTAGGGGCACCTGGGTGGCTCAGTGGGTTAATCCTCTGCCTTCAGCTCAGGTCATGATCCCAGGGTCCTGGGATCGAGCCCCGCATCGGGCTCTCTGCTCAGCGGGACGCCTGCTTCCTCCTCTCTCTCTGCCTGCCTACTTGTGATCTCTCTGTCAAATAAATAAATAAAATCTTAAAAAAAAAAAATGTTAGTCTATTATCACCCTAATGAAACCTGCTAAGAACAAAAGGCCATTTCTCCATATTATTAATATTCTTCATCATCTCCAAGACACACTGACTGAGCAGGTACCTGAATGTGCTGAGTGACAGAAGAGTACTGGGACAATAATCATGGCAAGCAGGCCCTGTTCACTGGATCACAGGGCCTGTGTCCAAGGCGGACCTAGGGAACGTAATGCCAAACACGTACCTTGTAAAACCCAAGCTTATACCTAGGCACAGCCTGAACCCTTTTTTTTCCCTAATCCTCATCATTTCTTCTGATAAGATTGAAAGCCCATTATTTACTAGGTGAAGTAATATTTCCATACAAAGTAATTGTCCTACGCTCCTTACTCAAGCTTCAAGAGGGCATCACACACAATTACTCCAGGAGTTGCTAACGTCCCGCTAAATTGCTGTTCGCAAGCTTTCACTTTGTTCATGCCCGTCCTTCCCTTTCCACCTAAACCGAAGAGACTTAAACTTTCACTCTGGTTTTGCTTGTCTTTATAAACGTCCCCTCCTTTGGACCCATGAAAGGTAAGATGACCAGAACTTCCAAGTTCAAAGATACCTATAAAGTCAAATTCTGTTTTCTGTTTTATTTCTGAATAGTCAGTGTCTTAACCATTTAATAATTCCCAGTCTTTGGTTGACATTTTAAACCACAGCTGTTTATTAGAAAGGTATCCTCAGAGAATAATCTGGGATGTCAGCTGGAGTATAATTCTAGTCTCTCTGATCTCAAATTCTCCAAATCCCCTACTGGGGAATGCCCATAGTTTAAATTCACTAAATAACAAGTTGCTAAATACCAAGAAATCAACCAATTGCCCATTTAATCTGTACAATGCCAATCAGAAAGTTTTCTTTTTGACACTGCTGGCCAGTCATCTGGGCATTCCTTTGACACACTGGAGACCTTAAGACCACTCTGGGTTCAAATCTAAGTAGAAAGTAGTGGGAAGGATTAAATTCTATTTGCATGAGGTCACTTTGGTTTCTCACATAAAAAAGTATTCAAATTCTGAGAATAAGGAAGAAACTTAGGTTGGTAATATTGCTTCCAAACAAAAGCTTTTTTTTTTTTTTTGGTGACTTATGTACATTTTACAGGCAGACTATATGAATGTTGTCACTACTTGTCTCCGTGGCCTCAAAAACTCAGGAACAGCCTCTCAGGCTTTACCCATTCTACATGAGGGTGTTTTTAAAATATTTTATTTATGTATTTATTTGAGAGAGGGAGAGAGCACAAGCAGGGGAGAAGCAGAGGTAGAGGGAGAAGCAGGCTCCTGGCTGAGCAGGGAGCCCAATGCAGGACTCAGTCCCAGGACCCTGGGATCACGACCTGAGCTGAAGGCAGAGGCTTAATGACTGAGCCACCCAGGCGCCCCTCTACATGAGGGTTTTTAAATAGTATCATCAAATCTACAATCTGCAAAGAACCTAGTCCATCTGCCCTATGTAGGTGCTGAAGAAATGGAGTCCAAAAGAGTATTAGTCATTCCTCAAGGTCCACCTCGATCTGGCTGTAGAATCAAATGAGCGGCCATTCTCTGACCTCCTGCCACAGCTTCCGTTGCTCATCCACCTCTAGTAAATGCAGTTGGTCTTGTTCTGCACGTCTCTTAGCCGTCACTCAGATCCCCTCCCTTGGCTGAGTCTCTACCCTTCTGCCTATCTCAGTTCCTGGAGCACTTTTTCTCCCCTAGTCTTTTCATTCTTTTTCTCCCCTAGTCTTTGGCCTTCAAATCTCCTTTTCATTCCGTCAGGTCTGCACTCCCCCACCACCTCCATCTGGTTAATGCCTCCCATCCTTTAGGTACCAGTGTTGACACCAACTTCTAGTTGGTTCTCTGCTTGGTCTGCGTTAGAAGCCTTCTCTCTGTATCTCTTCTCTCAGAGCACTGACTGTTTGTCCTGTAGTCGCCCCTAAGCATAAACTACGTGAGGGCAGAATCCCGCCCCACTATTCCTTCCCGAGCCGCCAGCACAGGGCCTAGTGCGTGACAGCTGACTGGCAGCTCCTCGGTGAGGTACATGAATCTCTCCCATGACAAGAACTCCTGCCTCACCGGCTCATCATGCCTGACGTGCTTCCTTGAGGTTTCTTTGCTTATTTTCACCTCCGCCAAATGACTGAATTGTGTCAAAAATTGTCTCAGGGTGTCAAAGGAATGCCCAGATAGCCTCAGCCATTATGCACGGCATTCTCTCCTCCCGCTCGTCCTCCTACCCCCTCGGCCTCGCTTAGCCAACATCGGCTCATCCTTGAGACCTTCGTTTCGACTTCAGTTCCTTAAGGAAACCTGCCCAGAACCCCCAAACCAAGCAGGTTCCACCCACAGTCAGACACTTCCATGTGCCTCTCACTGCTCTTAGAAAATTCATCGTTCAATTCTAATTTCATACCTAATTAATCTACGTTTCCCTCTTCCTGTGAGGGCAGAAGACCGTATCTATCATTTACATCGGTGTCTTAGTGCCTGGCACATGATAGGTGCTCATGAAGTATTTGTTGCCTAAAAGTGAAGAAATGAACACGTGGATGGGAAACAGAGTCAATTCATTCGTATTTCTCGAGGAAAGTAAGGAGTGCAGTCAAAATCTTGCAGTATTTCAGTATCTCCTTAAAGCTATTTTATGAAGAAGAAAATTACAAACATACATCCATGAACGCTATCCAGGTTTCTCAACCCTTTAAAGCTCTTGTCTTTAAAATAGAAGACTGAACTAACTCTGTGAGAGAGTTCTGTCCCATCTTAGCAGCCCATCAAGGTTACAGGGAGAGAAATCTGCTATGAGCATGAGGGTTACGAATCGGCTTGGAGCAGGGCTACACCAGCGTAAGCAAGTGTTTTGTTTGTGACACAGTCACACAGCGGCTACTCTGAAAGGTTTTAAGAGCCACTGTGATCGGTATCCTGATGTCAAACAGCCGGACACTGTAGTTCCCAATGCAAAGAGCCAAGACAAGGGAAGGAAGTACACACATGCCGCACATGAAATAACACCCCAGGCTCCATGTCACTCTTCCCCACAGGGGCTGAGGCTGTGAAACTCAAAGGGATGCCAACAGGAAGTGAGCCACTGCGGACATGCGCGCTCAAAGGGCACCTGCCTGAAAAGTGGCTTGTTTTGTGCCCTTGGGTGATCCCTCCTGGGACCTCACTGCATGAACACTCAACGGGGGTGCCCTTGGTGTGTTTTCCTTTCCTAGGTTTATAAAGACTTTCACTCTTTTTTGGCCACTTTTTGAGGTGATGGGGGATAGTAGTCCTTCTTTTCTCCTGATATGTGTGTATTTCATGTTGCTCAGAAAGAAACAGGTTGCTTTGTTCAAGATATATTTGAAAGTGTTCAGAAAGTCCTAAGACTTTCCTTAAGGAGGAACACTCCAGAAAGGATTCGGGTTGCTCACATGGCTATGAGTCACCCGGGGGGCCACCCTGACAGTATTCTATTTAGAAAAATCAAAATTTGGCCAAGGAAAATTCTCATGATGCATAGCTCTTGCTATGCATCATGAGAATTTTTAATTTAAAATTTAACATAGTAATTTAACATAGGGATTAATGAGAGTCATGCTACAGTAAATTTGGAACCTTACATTTTAAAAATTCTGATTAGAAAACAAAATCTTTAAGAAGTAAGTGGCATCAGGGCCTTTGTTTAGTAGGGCAATGAGGAAACCATGAAATTCTGCTCGAATCCTACTAAGAACCAAATCCTCAAAGAATTATTCTAATCCGATCCTTCCTTTTACCAGCTCTGTGATGTTGGGCAAATTGATTATTTTACATCTGTTTTCTATAAACTGAGAATAAGAACACCGAGTCTGTCCTCTGGAGAGGGACATCATGAATATTGTGTGAGCTTACAACCTCTAAAATCCTATTTGACCACCATTGTTCAAGAAACATTCATTTCTTCATTTAGCAAATATTACCCTATATCCACTGTGTACCCGGCCCCGTTCTAGATGCTGGGAGATGATGGCAAACAAGACAAAATTCTGCTTTCGTAGAGTTTATAAGATTTGAAGAGTGCTTGCTGTGAGAGTCTTCCAAAATCATAAAGTACTCTAAAAGTATGTGTTTTTAATTGGAATCATGGGTATGCAGCAGCTGTTTTGATGACCTCAATGTCTATTTCTCTTCTTCCTAGTTTCTCATGGCATCATTGATGCCTACGCTGGAAAAGATACAGTATCCTCGGGAAGAATTAGTTACTAGGGAGAAAAAGAATGTCTACAGGAAATTCAGCCTGAAGGTAAGGAGTTTCTCCTCGCTCTGTTATTTTATTCTTCTTAAAAATATTACTTTGCTGGTTTTAAAAGTAATACGAGCTTATATACAAAGTAAAGAAACAGATATATGTTAACAGAAATCACCCATATTTTCAAAATACAGGCAGAACACTTTCCACCGTGGGTTCTGTTTGTATTTTTTTTTTTTAAGATTTTTATTTATTTATTTGACAGACAGAGATCACAAGTAGGCAGGGAGGCAAGGAGAGAGGGGAGGAAGCAGACTCCCCGATGAGCAGAGAGCCCGACACGGGGCTTGATCCCAGGACCCTGAGATCATGACCTGAGCTGAAGGCAGAGGCTTAACCCACTGAGCCACCCAGGCGCCCCTCTATTTGTATTCTTCAATGACTATATGTAACACATACTTTTAGTAGGACTATATTGACGGTTGATAAAGTATTTTATACTAAAACTTATTTCCATACCACTGCATCTACTTTGAAGCATGCCCACAGAGGATTCCTTTATGGCATCCCGTTCCATATGTCTTGTCACCTTCCCTCTTTTGTTGGTCAGTTAGCTTGTTCTCACTTTTTATTACCACAAATAGGGATGCAATGCACATTCTGTACAAATCACAATATTGTAAAGTGTTGTACAGATTACTGGAAGAGGATCTGCTGGACCAAAGGGTAGGGCCTTCGGAAAGCTCTAGATATGCACTGACAAATTTCTTTCTGGAAAGGCAGTAATCATCGACGTTCCTAGCAGTGACTTCTGTCGGACCCCATCACAGCAAACTTGTTCTCAAAAGGCCAGTAATCAACAGCGTGCATCATCTCTTTTTCATCCAGCACAGGTCCTTTTAGGAACAGGACTGCCATGCAGTTGGTAAGTAAACACCTGTTCCCATTTTCAGGATTCAGGAAATTGGAGAGAAAGTTGGGGGAGTGGATCTTGGAAGAAAGATAACAATATAAAGGTTTTCAGAGAACGCCAGGGAGATAGCATGTCAAGAGTAGAAGAGTTGAGAATTCTGGAATAAGCTTATCTCATTTTCTTAGCAAAACGTCTTGGTTTCATTTGCTTTTTTTCAGAGGGCCTGCCTGTGCCCCCAGAAAGCATGAAAAGGAATTGAGGGATGAAATGGTTGAGTGGAGCCTGGATTTTAACTACCGTGAGTTCAACTCTGTTTGCTATTGACTTCAATGAAGTAGCTTTGGGTCACTAAACCAGTGGCAGGAACTACTTACTGGAATAGAAAAAAGAGATTTGCACCTTCTTACAGGTAGAATTCATATAGGAGGAGGCTATGGACAGTCAGAAACGGTCATGCTAGATCCAGAGAGCAGGAAGGCAAGGCCAGAGGGAGCCATGCCAGAGCCATGGGAACTAGCCTTTGGAGACTCATTCAATAAATCATGAGAACTGGGGCACCTGGGCAGCTCAGTCAGTTAAGCGTCTGCCTTTGGCTCAGGGTCCTGGGATCAAGCCCTGCATCAGAGCCTACTTCTCCCTCTCCTGCCCATTCCTGCTGTCTCTCTCAAATAAATAAAACCTTTATTTATTATTATTTTTAAAATTTTTTTATTTATTTGACAGAGAGAGATCACAAGTAGGCAGAGAGGAAGGAAGAGAGTGAGAGGGAAGCAGGCTCCCCGCTGAGCAGAGAGCCCGATGTGGGGCTTGATCCCAGGACCCTGAGATCATGACCTGAGCTGAAGGCAGAGGCTTTAACCCACTGAGCCACCCAGGCACCCCAATAAAAAGTTTATTTAAAAAAACCATTAGAACTGAGTGAAGGGAAAGGATCATATCACTGTCAGCGTATAGTTACAATGTAGATATGTCCAAAAGGCTGGAAACCACCACCATTCTTTTACTGTTTCATGAACCTATTTAAAGGAACTTGCTTGTGCTTCAGAATTAGCCACCCGCTTACCTGAAAATACCTAATCCCTCATGTCACCTAGCTCTTCCTTAGAACTGGTAATAAGGTTTTTAAATCCCGAGTTACGCCACTCAGCGATCTGCCTAGAATCCGACCAGATACTAGACAGCTCAGCCTCCTTCATTAAATTTCCCAACATTTCAGTTTAAAGTGGGGTAGCATATATTAAGTTGCACAGCACAAAAAGAATTTTCTATTTAAAAATCCAACGTATAATCTTTACATTTTTTTTTTCTTAAATCATTCTCTGATCTGATTAGTCCACTATCTGTGCAATTATTCTGTTATTTCTTCTTCGATTTCTTATTTTGGAATACCACTTGCTTTGTTTCCTCTTGTTGACTCCGTGCGTTTACTTCCAGGATTACATATGGACTGCGTACATCCAAACCGCTCCTCGGTGCTGCCCACACGCGGATACGTGTTCTCTCCCTCACCATCCACCTTTCTTTGCACTCATCAGTTGTGTTGCACAATACCTACCTCTCCCTCTCAACCATCCGTCCTCCTGACCTGTCCTTTCTGTTATTAAGTAGACAGGATGGTGCGTGCTAGAAAGAAGATAGTACACGTCTGTCTAGACCCAGGGTAACCATGTCTGGGCTCTATGGGGAACCTCTGTCTTGCCCCCACTTACTCTGAGAGGTGACTCAGCGTTTAACTGCAGCTCCTCAAAACAGAAAGTTCAACTGTGAAAATGCTGGTGAGTAATACAGATTTAACTGTACTTATTGTGGATTATTTCCTTGATCACACAGAGGAAGCTTAATAAGACACTAAATATGTCAGTTCCGTGCCAAAGCAAGTCACCCAGCAGTGGTAAAGTAACCCCCCTCCCTTCACCCAAGACCCGGCTCTCCAGCCTTTCAGCCACTTTTCCCTCCCATCTCCCCATTCTCCTTTCTTTAAAGGAAGTGGAGACACCTTTTGGCTTCCCCAGCCAATCGCGAAAGGGATTGTTAGGACGCACTTTCTTTATTCAGCAGTCATGAGTGCGTTGGGGCGATGCCCCGATCTGACCTCTGTGTATGGGAGACTGGGAAGACGATCAGCAGCAGGCCTACGGGAACCTCCTGTATTAGCGCCACCGATTCATTGGTGTGGAACAGCTGAACATTTGTGTGGCTTTTCCCTCTGAGTCACAGGAGAAGAGCAGAGAGGAAGAGGATCAGAAGGGCATCATCTGTAAGGCCTTTAATCCCTGGTGTTCTCACTTGTCTACAAGTTACAGAAGGAGAACAACAGCTGTGTGTTGCAGGGGGTGAATTTGATGTTCACGGGCTGAATTTTGTTTTTAAATACTAGCTAAACTGAAGAGAGGCAAACATAACTAATGCAAGGGAAACTGCCTGTGGAAGGCATGCGCTTCTGATGCTTATGCTAGGGTGTGCGCGTGCACGTGCGGTGGGTGTCCCAGTCACTACACGTTGTCACAGCTGCTGGTAGTGACGGCTAGTAGTGACAGGTAGAATGAAGCTCTGACTTCACTCTCGTGTCTTCCAAAGTTAGTGTAAAGAACTCGAGTTAGGCACAGTGGTCTATGTGCGCATGTGTTCACACAGACATAGAAAAACACGGGGCCGGGAACTAACGAGGGGTTTCCTATGTTCAGCAAAAGCATCTGCCCCTCCCTCACTCTGTGCACCACTCTGAAGACCTCACCCTTCTTCACTTCCACCCCCACACAGGAAAGAGATGGTATTTCTGACATGACATGTAAATGTTCAAAAGCTGGTTTCTGCAAGAAGGCAGGCCCAGGGAGAAAAGCTGTCATACAATCAGATCTTATATGTCGGTAGCCTAAACCAGAAATGCAGAGTATTATTAGAGTCAATAATAAGTAGTTCCCACTTAGCATATCATCACTTTCTCTTATTGTATGTGATGTTGAACATTACATGACCGGTGCTACTAGAAAGTCAAATTTTGATTTATGTCAAGGGGAAAAGTTCGAAGTCTAGAATATTTAAAAGTTCGAAGTCTAGAATATTTAAAAGTTCAGTAGGTACAGCTCCATAAATCATTTCTTATTTCCTTCCCCAATGGGTTTTTGTTGTTGTTGTTGTTGTGGTTCCAACTGATTCTATGCATCTTGCTACAGGCTGAATTAGGTTTTCCTCAAAAATTCGTATCAAGTTCCTGACCCTCATACCTTAGAATCTGAATTTCCTGGAGAGGGTCTTTTTAGAGGTAAGTTAAAATGAGGTCATCAGGGTGGGCCCTCACCCCAGAGACTGGTGTCCTTAGAAGAGGGAATTTGAACATAGACATGCACAGAGTGAAAACTATGTGAAGACACAGGGACGAGGCAGCTATCTATGAGCCAAACAAAAAAAGGTCTGAACAGATCCTTCCCTCACAGCCTTCAGACTCAGCCCTGCAGAAACCCTGATCTTGGCCTTCCAGCCCGCACAGCTGTGAGAAGACAGATTTCTGCTGTTGAAGCCACCCAGGCTGAGGTACTGTGTCATCCAAGAGCTAGTGAACCCGTACCCCAGTGAATGACATTTCACACTTTCTTCTTGGTACAAAAATTAATTACAGAAGTGCAAAATAGGTCAGCTGTGACTTACATGTGTCCCCCAGATTTTAAAATATATATCATTTGGGTATGTGACTTTGGCACACAATATAGGATTTGATGTCCCTTAATAGTTTCATGGGTGCCCCCCTCAGTCACCCGTTCACACACCTGCACGCATGTCCTCCAGATTTCCCCACCACCCCATTCCTCTTGCTCCCCCACCCCCCCCACCCAGTGCTCTGTCTCCAGCAGAAGCCCAGGTTAGACTTGAAGAGGTGCCCCCAGACTTCTCTCTCTTCAGAGAGAAGCCCTCACAGCGGCTTAACGTAGTGCTTTTCTGCATCTGGGTAACTATGAATGAAAATAAGATTCAAAAACCTCTCAAAAGCAAATGAATAGGTGAACCCACTGGAAACAGTGCCAGGTCTGAGCAGCAGGACACTGCGAACATTTTACCTGCTTTCGCTCTTTGCATCTCTGATGAGCTCTTCTACAAATTCTGTTTACCCCTCTAGAAAATGTCTTTCAGCTCCCCCCCCACCCCCGCCTTTTGTGCTGAGCAACAGCCAGCCTGCTTTGATTTCCCTGAGGGTTCCCAGAGGCTTTGCATCAGGGCAAAGCTGGCTGGAATCATGGAGAGCGCGCGAAGCGTCACCCCTGGTTACCAGGACAGCAGAGCCTCAGGTCCTCGTGAAGCCCCAGAGTCGCTCCGACCCTCAGAGCACCAAGGTGGCAATCCGAGTCCAGCTCAGCATCCGGCCTGGGAGGCCAACGGTAGCAGGCTACGTTGCACCGTGCTCTGTCGTATTCTACAGGAGTGTCCCCCTCTTTAAAAGACCCCAGCCTGAGAAATGCAGCACTAAAGGTTATTATTTGCTTTAGAGCACTTAGTACACACAGGCTTGAGCCAAAAATGATCTCCCACAGCTCAATGACCCCGAAGACGCATCTGGTAATGATTTAGGATTATCGTAGAAATATAATCCAAAATTCCTAATTTCTTTCAGAATATCCCAAGAGACACCATATGGAGCACTCGGTTTGGGAAGCATGGATATGATGAAAAGAACTCTGGAAAAAGGACTATTCTGAGTTCAAGTTCAAACCTGACCCTCTCTTGAGCTGGGTAACCTGCAAACTGCAACCTTCATGTCCTATTTGTAAAATGGGCACAAAACTCCTTGGGGCTCCTGGGGGGAGTAAGCGAGACGATGCACATTCACAACGTAGTGAGATGCCAGTGGCTTCAAAAATACTCAACAGGAGCCACCTGCATGTGGCTCAGAAATGACGACGCTGCCCCGGCAGGGATTCTCTGTCCGTCTGGAGCCGGGGAACGAATGATGTGCCCTAGGGAGCCAGACAGGACGATGGGGAGGGGTCTTCCCGGATTCTCCGATGGACGGCTGGGTTCATTCATTCCAGTCCGTGCTGTTCATTGAAATCCTCTCGTGGACTAGGGACTACAAAGGGGAACGACGTTCAGGCTTGCGAGAGGCAAAGACACACTCACTATGGAGGGGGAACGAATGAACGTCTTAATCAGAGCAGCCGGTCCTGCAGAAAGGCAGGACCTACCGCCTGGGAAGGGAAGCCGAGCGAGTTGTAACACTGATCTCTTCTCTAGTCCTGGAACAAAACAAAGCCTGTTAGGCCTCAGGGACTTTGAACTGGGCCTTGTTTGAGCAACCAGCAGGGCTAGCTCCTGCTCTGTGTTCAAGACCAAGTTCCGGACTTACTCTCAGAAGAGCTTGCCCCGGTTTCTCTCTCTCCCTTCGCCGCTCTCCTCTCCCCCAACCGCCTTTTCCAAGAGCGCTT